GGGGAGCGGCGCAAAATCGGTTCATCCGCTCTACCCTTTATTATTTGGTCAACATGGCGCTTTTGGATTACATTTTGGTCGGTTCGTACAGCATATGTAGATGGCGAAGTTTGTTTCACAATTTTACCGGCCGTTCGTTTATCGGCTCTTACCCTGTAATCATTTACCATAACGTCTTCACCTACCGCTATCTCTCCCTTACGTTTACCGGGTCTGTTAACGATCTGTGCACGTTGCTTATCTTCAACAGTCTCCGCTACATTCGGTTTTAACAGGTCGAACCGAGTTCTCAGCTCGCGACCATACATCAAGAATGCTGGACTCCTACGTGTGGTACAATGCTCGATACTACGGTAATCGTACAAAAACATATCGACCGCTGTGTCCAGCGTCTCTCCCCCTTGAACGATTTTTGAGACTTTATCTTTAAATGTTTGCAGAAAGTTTTCAGCGGCCCCGTTAGTCGCCGGATAGTGTGGGGGCAAATAAGTATGTTTTACCCCGTTTTTTATGAGGAATTCGTGGAATTCCACACTTCTAAATTGTGGTCCTCCATCCGTAACACAATGTAACGGCAACCCAAATCTTGCAAGTAACCCTTCGAGTTCCTCGATTAGTCTGTACGCTTTTGTGTTATTCTTAAAATTAATTATTTCCGGCCATTTGGAATACGCATCAATTATAATTAAATACATGTTCCCATAGAATGGTCCTGCAAAATCACAATGTATCCGGCTCCATGCCTTTGTCGGCCATGGCTATGTTGTTAATGGCGTATGCGGCGGCTTCTTATGCTGAATTAGACAAATTTTGCATCTATTCACTAAAGCTTCTATGTCCGAATCTATTCCTGGCCACCAAACATACGAGCGAGCAAACATTTTGATCTTTACAATTCCTAGGTGTGTGGCATGTAATTTCTTCAAAATTAAGGTTCTCATGCTTTGTGGAATAACGGCTCTTAGGCCCCAAAATAAACATCCTTTCTCGACTGTTAATTCTAATCGTTTTGAGTAATAATGTTTTTCGTCATTTAATACATGTTTAATTACGTCGCTAATTGTTTTATCTTCCCTATTTTCAGTGGCTAACATTTTGTAATCAAAAGTTTTAATTCCTTCTTCAAAAAAGTTTACATGTAAAAAATCAGGTTCTAGTTCTAATAACAAAATATCATTTCCTTCGTCTTCGATGGGGAGTCTAGACAATGCATCACAATTTGCAGTCGCTTGGGATCTGACATGTTCGATTTTATAGCGAAATCCTGAAAGGAAATAAGCCTATCTTTGAAATCGGTTATCGGCTGTTATTGGAATCCCTTTACGCGGCCCTAGGATCATCTGTAACGCTTTATTATCCGTTCTTAAAATAATTTCTTTTCCGAAAATGAACTCGTAAAATCATTTAAATCTAAAGACTATAGCCATTGCTTCCATGTCAATTATCGCGCGGCTCATTTCTTTTTTCCCAATTCTCTTTAACGCGTATGCGATTGGTTTTTCAGTGCCGTCTTTATACCTATGAGAAAGTATAGCGGAAATTCCGTAGTCTGACGCATCACATTCTAAGACTATTTGCTCGTTCGGGTTATAATGCGCTAATATACGAGGTGAGAGCAATTCATCTTTTACCCATTCGAACGCACTTGTGCATTCTTGATCCCATTCGAATTCTTTTTTATTTAATAATGTGTATAGCGGTGTTAGTTTTGCTGACCTGTCTTGCAAAAATCTAGAGTAGAACGTTACTAATCCTAAGAAAGAAGCTAGTTCTTTGTGATTTTTTGGTTGGGGAGCATCTATCATTGCGCGTACTTTTGACTTCGCTTTGTGTAACCCGTTCTATAACGTAGCCTAAGATTTCGATTCTATCTTGCATGAATTTACTTTTTTCTTTATTGATTCTTAATCCGCATTCTTCCAGCCTCGCACAAACTTTTTCTAAATTTTCTTTGTGTTCGCTTTCTGTACGGCCAGTTACATAGATATTGTCGAGATACGCGATCGCGCCATCGATTCCCATTAGACATTCATCCATTTTTCTTTGCACATCTGCAGGCGCCGGTGAAACGCCCTCTGGAATATTTCTGTATCTAAATAAGCTTTTGTGAGTTACGATCGTGAGCAAGGGTAGACATTCTTTAGCTACTGGGAATTGCATGTACGCGTGCTTTAAATCCAACTCCGAAAAAACTGCACCTCCTTGGAGGCTCGATATTTGTTGATTTGGGCCTATTTCCATTCTTTTTAATTCTTTAATTTGTATTACTAGTTCCTATAATCTATTCCCGTAGCTGAGTACAGTAAAACCTGGATAAATTCAACGAAAGAATGCTTGGATAAATGAAACATCGCTATCCCCTCCACTTGGGGGGATCCCCCTAGGCGAACCGAGCCGCTCGACGAGGAAACCGTGTAATATGATCCGACCGTAATATCCGTGTGACTAATACTAATTCAACGATAAAACTTTTTTATTTTTAACTTTTTCTCAATGAAACTGTTACTAATGCATTTGTGAGATTTTTCTGATTAAAATGATACCAAACTCAATATAGGTTGAATTATATTTATAAACAATAGTAATAGAATAAACAACATAGAATTGAGACCACGACTGAATATAAATGATGTCGGCTGAATACAAAAGATGTGTACGGACACAGAATCGGCATGTCGGCTGCAAAGAAAACATGTGTACGGACTCAGAATCGACACCTCGCTTGGGTAAATGAAACATTAAATGCCCAGAATCGACTCCTTGCTTGAATAAATGAAACATTAAATGCCCGGAATCGACTCCTCGCTTGAATAAATGAAACATTAAATGCCCAGAATCGACTCCTCGCTAGGATAAATGAAACCTTTGAAACCAAAGCCGACACCGCGACTGGTTTGGATTTCGATCTCTCTTGCTTTTCGCCAACTTATAACATCAATTTTAGCAAGTAATTATAATTGAAACTATATCGTGTTTGGTACCACTTGACTCACAAAAATCTCACCAATGCGCTAGTAAAAGTTTCACTCAAAAAAAGTCAAAAATAAAAAAGTTTTTTGATTCAATTAGTATTAGTCACACCGATACGTTTCGGCTCTTTCCTTTGATCATCGGACCTCCCTCTTTCCACCACTGTCTGTCCCTTTCTACCTTCACGCTTGGCTGGTCGTCGCGTGTCATCCGAGCTTCGATACCGTGCTTAGGTAAACGCAACCACTGGGTCCCAATCTTGGTTGAATTTATCCAGGTTTTACTGTATCGATTACGATATCGATTTTCAACCCACGTGTCAGGAGATGTACTATCATTATTTTTTGTTGCTATTATTATTCTTTTTTTCGGTGAAACTACAGAACAAATACGTCCTTCCCGATTTCGATGATTTTTGGATATGTTATAAAAATTATTATACATATAAGGAGCGTTCTCGCTTAGTTTCAGAGATATTCGCAAAAAGCTGCCGATATAGATGCATTGAATTTTGCTTATAGTTGTTGATCTGTGACAGCATACATATGCGTCAGATTGTTTGCCATTTTTTTCGGTTTAGAAACGAGGGTCGAGCGAAAATAAAGGTTTCGTTCACAACTGCATATACCAGACTCCAAGAAATAAAAAAACGTTGCCAGCCGCTTTACGGCAGTCGAATTCTAACCCATCACATCAATAATATTCACTTCTAATTGAATTTCAGTACATACACATTTCTTGAAGTCTCGTATATGCAGTTATGAACGTAGCCTTTATGGTCTCCGACCTTCTTTCTAAACAGAAGCCAAATGGCCAGCGGATGGCAACCAACACTTATGCATGTGTTGTCGCAGATGCACATCTATAGGCAGAATTCAGTGTGTTATATCGATAGTTTTTTGATGGTTTTGAAATATTGCTTTGACCCGCTCGTCACCGACATTCACACTTTGTTATTCCTCTCTTTCGCACACATCCTCTCTCTCCCACACTCGCATACTGACCATGTTGGCCTGTTCAACAGATGGCTCAGGCAGCGTTGAGATTGCTCTTCCGATTAGGAAATGAGCTGGTGTTAGCACTGAGAGATCGTCAGGGTCGTCCGTGAGAGGCTCCAGTGGTCGTGAATTAAGCGTTGCTTCAATCTGATTTAGAAGAGTATAGTATTCTTCAAAGGTGAGTAAAGTGTCACTCACCGTGCGTCTGAGATGGTATTTGACAGACTTGACCACTGCCTCCCACTTTCCTCCCATGTGCGGTGCAGCAGGTGGATTGAAACTCCAAGTTGTATGGTCGTCGACGAACAGCTTGGCCAATCGTTGATTGTCTTGAGTGCCCTCGACGAACATTGATTTCAATGCTGAATCTGCTCCGATGAAGTTTGTTCCGCAGTCGGAGTAGATTGTATGTGGAATGCCTCTTCTTGCAGCGAACCGTCGGTACGTGGCAACGAATCCATCCGTTGAATAGTCGGTAACCATTTCCAGATGAACAGCAGACGTTGTCATGCAAACGAAAACACAGATCCAGCCCTTTTGTGTTCTCGCACCTCGCCCCTTCCACGTCTTGAGTGCGATGGGACCGGCGTAGTCTACGCCGGTGTGTGAGAATGGGTGTGAGGGTGTAACCCGAGAGAGAGGTAGTTGGCCCATCAGTTGATGGGCACGGATCCCCCTCTGCCGAGCACACACAACACACCGCAGAATGTGAGATTTGACTGGAGCTCGTCCACCGATGATCCAGTAAGTCTGTCTGATGTGAGCGAGTGTGAGTTGTGTCCCTCCATGAAGCGTTGCTTTGTGGGAGTGATCTACAATCAATTCGGACAGACGTGAGTGACGTGGAAGGATTGCAGGGTGTTTACCTTCATAGGTTAACTGAGCGTTGCTGAGTCTTCCTCCAACTCGAATAACCCCTTGATCGTCGATGAAGGCCGTGAGTCGATTGAAGGCGTGGGACGATGGTAACGTTTGGTTGTTGACCATCATCTTGAGCTCGTGTGAGAAGTATGCTGATTGTGTGGCCTTGATCTAGAAGATTTTGGCCCTTTCCAAATCAGCTGGTGTGTTCGAGAGCCTCGTTGAAGCAGTTGTCCTTCTCAGTTTGGAGATGAACCTGTAACAAACTGAGGTAACATGAAAAAGTTTTTGCAAAGATGAATATTTGTGAATCAAGTCCCAGTGATAATCGATTTTTTGGCACGTTAACATGTGAGAGATTCCTGGGCGACACTCCTGCAGGCAAGTGTCGTCAGATGCGTTGCGTTGTACAGGCCATGATTCTTGAGATTGTAAAAGCCACGGTGGTCCCCTCCACCATAGCCCGTGTTGTTCAAGCTGAGTTGTAGTCAATCCTCTTGAAGCGCAATCAGCAGGATTTGATGTGCCAGGAACGTGCATCCAAGTTGCAGTTTGCGTTAGTTCTTGAATTTGTGTTACACGATTCCTGACGTAATCTTTCCATCGTGATGCGTGAGATTTGATCCATGTAAGTGTTACTTGAGAATCCGTCCACAGGTGAATTGTAGCAATGTTGAGTTTGAGATTAGCTTGAACGTATTTCAGTAATTTTGCAAGTATCAGCGCAGCTGTGAGCTCGAGTCGGGGAATTGTAAGTTTTTTGAGAGGTGCGACCTTTGTCTTGGAGCACACCAGTGACGTCACCTTGAGATCTGTGGACGGCGAAAAAACAGTAATGTAAATTACTGCTGCCATGGCGAGTTGTGAAGCGTCAGAGAAGCCGTGTAATTCCACTGTAGAATTGTTGTAGGTGTTGAACCACCTTGGTATTGAGAGTCTGGCCAGACTTGTGAGATCTTCTCTGATCGCAATCCATCGTATAGTAACATGGGATGGCAGTGGATCATCCCATTTGAGATTGAGAAGCCATAATTCTTGCAGGAGTACCTTCGCTCGAATAATGACTGGTGACAAAAAGCCAAGCGGATCAAATATCTGTGCTACTTCAGATAATACAAGGCGTTTTGTAAAATTGAGATTGTGGTGAGATTTAGTAGTGAATGTGAAACTATCGTTGACAGTGTTCCATCGCAATCCGAGTATTTTGGTGTTGCAGTCGTCTAGTGAGATTGATGTACCTTGAGAATTATTGCAAGGCACGATGGTTTCAAGCAGAGAGGCTTCGTTTGAGTGCCACTTTGCAAGAGGGAAACCGCCCGCGTTGCACAAGTCAGTTAATTGTGAAGCAATTTCAATTAACGAATCAAGAGAATCTGCACCACCAAATATGTCGTCGACATACCTTGCATATTTGATTGATGGTACTGCCAGTGGGTAGCGTTGACCTTCGTCCTCTGCAAGTTGCAACAGGGCTCTGACAGCTAGAAATGGTGCAGCTTTGGTACCGTAGGTGACTGTTGTCAGTGTGTATGGGACTTCATTTGATTCCTCATCTATCCAGAGTATCCGTTGGAGATTCCAATCGTCTTCATGTACTCGTACTTGACGATACATCTTTGTGATGTCCGTGGCGAATATGCATTTGTGATGGCGAATCCACAGCAAAACGTCGTTGATGTTGAGCAGGAGATTCGCACCAGTGTGCATGATGTCGTTGACAGAAAGTCCAGTTGTTGTTGGACTTGAGCCATTGAAGACGACCCGCAGCTTTGTTGTTTCACTGCCAGGCTTGAAAACTCCGTGATGTGGAAGATAGTAAATTGAAGAGTCGTTGGGCGAGATTGAGGAAGCCTTCTTCATGTGACCGAGTTCCTCGTACTCCATCATGAATCGCTGATATTGCTCACGGTACTCAGGATTTCGAGTGAGCTTGCTGAGCGTGCGTCGCAGGCAGGAGCGAGCTGTGCTGTAAGAGGTACCCAAGACTTTAGTATTTGTTTTGAGAGGAATACGCACCACGTATCGCCCAGTAGAATCACGGCTGTGCGTTGCACGAAAGTGATCTTCACACTCTTGTTCGTCCGGTGTGAGTTGAGATGTGTTTTCCGTTGGAAGCTCCTCTTGAATCCAGAATTTCGTCAGCAGTTCTCTCAGAGCAGCGTCGCTGTCTTGAGAGATTGATGCATTAAATGATGAATAAGCACGAGCTTGACGCCTCCTTGCTGGTCCAATAACGAGCCATCCGAATATTGAGAGCTGGGCGACTGGCATTGATGGCGAACCTTTAATTACATTTGATTTTATAATTCGTCCATAATTGTCGGCACCGATGATGACGTCGATGGGTCGTGGTTTGTAAAACTCAGGATCTGCCAACTTGAGACGATTGAGATGTGGCCAGTCTTGGTGGGGTGCCTCAGAAGACGGCAAAATTGTGGTTAGAGTGCGCAACACATGAGTTTGTATTGAGATCGATGAGGTATTGTAAAGAGATTGTAAATGTAGTGATACAATACCTCGAGTTTGTGTTGATTTCTTGCCACCAATGCCAGTGATGGAGATTGAAGATTGAGTGCGTTGAAGTCCTAGCTGTTCGACGAGATCTTCAGAAACGAAACTGAGCTCCGATCCGGAGTCGACGAGCAGCCTTGCGTTGTAGGTCGTGGATGAGGTGATGACTTGTGCATGTGCTGTTGCTAACAGCGTTAGCTCGGCTTGCGTCGCAAGCGAGCTTGATCGTTGATCGTTTGTGTTGGCGGTTGTACTGGATCGTTGACCCATTGAAATCGAGATTGAGTGCTTGACGACTGCACCTACACTTTATTGTGTTTGTGTTGAAGAGGACGACGTTGTCGGATTCTCTTGTGTTGCCGCAGGCTTGGCTGTGGTCTGTGGCTGCGTTGCAGCCAGGTGTAGAATTGTGTGATGAGGCCGTCCACACTGTTTGCAACGGTGTTCAGACTTGCAATTCGCAGTGGTGTGACGGCCGCAACAATTTCTGCACAGAGACAGTTTGTCCACTAGACTTCGTCTTTCTGGTACAGGCATCGACCTGAACTTTGTGCATGACACAATGAAGTGGTCGGCCTGACAACAGTCGCACGGATAGGCGTGTGCGGCTGCTCTTGTGATGGTGTTAGCCTGTGACGTTGTCAAGGCAGGTCGTTGACCTGTTGGTTTCGCCTTTGCCTGAGGTTGAGCAGGCTGATTTTTGGCCGTTGGCGTTTCAACCCTTTCTAGAGCCCGTGCCTTGGTCGTCAGGAACGCCTCCAGTTGCTCTGGCTTCGGAAATTCTTCAGAGTTTCCTAGGCTGGTTTCCCAAGCCTCTCGCGTAGTCTTGTCAAGACTACGAGAGATGTGATGGATGAGTGTGCAATTCCACAACTCGTCGGTTGAAGCAAGAGCGCGCAACGAGGTGTTGAAATCGCGCAAATTGGCCGCCACGTTGTGGAGAACCATTGCGCTCTTCTGTTGCACTGGTGGTGTCGCACAGAGCTTGTCAAGCAGAGATTGCACGATGATTCTCTTGTTCTCAAAGCGTTGCTTTAAATTCTTCCAAGCAATTGGGAAGGATTCTCCTATCGCCGGCAGGTTGGAGATGGCGCGTAGCGACTCCCCTTGGAGGCTTGACCTCAAGTAATGCAGCCTCTCCACATCAGATAATCGGTGATTATCGATGATTATTGATTTGAAAAGCTCGCAAAACGCAGGCCACGCTTCATAGCGACCCGCGAAAGTGGGAAGCGTCAATTCAGGGAGTTTCGACGGCCTTTGTCGTGATGGTGATGCTGCACGCGCTGCGTGCAGCCTTGCGAATGCGGCCCGAAACTTGCACAGACGTCGTCTGATTTCGATGACCACGCTCATCTCGAGGTCGTAGTAATTGTCGCTGACATATGGATGGGAATTCTGACCCGAAGGCCAGGTAACTTCAAGGTAGGAATGCTCCTTTTGGAACGCCTTGTTTATTTCATCGACCTGCTTGTCGATGAAGTCGATCTCGTCGAGAGAAGTTTCATCCATCATTTCCGGCATCTTGTCCATTAATTTGCGGAGGCCTTCGACTCTACTCACTTGCGTCTTGGCCTTCATGGACAACTCCGTTGACAAGCCGGCAGGAGATGAGGCGCGTGTTACGCGTTTTTCCACCGTCGGTGGAGGTGCTTCTGCCGGTAGCACCGTTGGCACTGTCAGCGTTGCTGATGTCACCGGCGTGGGTGACGTCGGTCTTGAGGCCGACTTGGCTTCCTGTGGCGTCGCCTTGGGAACTTTGTCACCTTTCTCACTCATTCTAGTCACTGAGTTCGAGATTTCACTAACAACGTTGTTGCCGAGCACAACCCGTCACTGCCGATCCGGCTCGAAGGACCAGAAAAAATGTTCAAAAGTAGGCGTTCGAGTTTGGGATTGTGCGAGACCGGTTCGGTTGTAGGATCAGCAGTGAGACGGGAAGTAACGAGTTTGCACAGTTTGTTGTTAACAAGCACAATGTATTTACACAAATATTTACACTATGTACAATTGTTGTTCGTTGAACAATGTAAGAAATGCAAATGTTAGTGCGTTGCACAATTTCACCCGCGTCGCTGCGAAATTTGAGACCGAGTTCGAGATGTTTGAAACCACGTGTTGGATTAACGCGTGGCACCACGTAATTATATTAATCACGTGGATTTTGGCGAGCTGATGAGCTCACACACTCGCAAAAGCCGTTGGCACTTTTACACGCGTTGAGAGAAGTGTAATTTTGCGAGATTGAGCGGAATTATTAGAACTATGCGAAAACTGAGATTGCACGTGTGAAGGCTACGTAAACCAGAGCGATAATGGCCGATCAACCGGCTTCGTCGCAACAAGAACCGTTGGCTTCTTCTTGCTGACGTAACGCTCCCTGATTGGTCGGCGTGACCGGCATCCAAGGTGGCTGCCGGTCGCGCTGCTAAGTGCTGCCGCGGTCCGCGTGCCGGCGGTAGAAATTACATTTTCGAACACCATTACTGTCTAGAAAGGAAATACATACAGCGATCACCTTTATTATATGTACTATTCATTATTTCATTTCAGCGGCACAAAATATCCTGGATTTATTGAGTGAGACAATTTCAACAATAACTTTTTTATTTTTCATTTTTCCTAAATGAAACTTTCAGTAATGTAATTGTAAGATTGTACTGATTAAAATAAGACCAAACACCATATAATTTGCATTATTTTTACTTATTTAGATATAAATAAGTAAATAAATAATTATAATTCAAATTATGTCATGTTTGATCTTTTTCTAATCTGAAAAATCTCACAAATACGTTAGTAACATTTTCAAAATGAAAAGGTTTTATTTTGATTGCGTTAGTATTGTCTCACACGTATACGGGTAAAACTTGCTTTTTTTCCTGTACTCTGCGTCGATTCTCGGCTGTCACCACATCAAACGCGAGCCGAACTCATTCGCTAAACGTGTTCTGTACATGGTTCATCAAACGCGAGCCGAACTCATTCGCTAAACGTGTTCTGTACACGGTTCATCAAACGCGATCCGAACTCATTCTCTAAACGTGTTCTGTACACGGTTCGAGTTCGCATTCAGTTCCGAATGCACTAACCGAGATTTTAGTGTACGTATACCTATGCTCCAACAGTGCATATATTACTATTCTCTTATTTTGTCGGAAAGGGCAAGAGTATATGTGACGTCTCAGGCGCTGTACGTCATGGGAATAGTTTTCTGAGCAAGGGTTTCCACCCAAAACTATGGTAGTGATATATGCCGCCGCGTATACACCACAACTGTAACAATCTGGGTGCGCCTGAACCCTTTCAAAAAGTATATCCTTTTTGCGAATATGAGGAAATCGTAATGCAATATATATTTTTTCTTCCTCTGCGAGCTTGTCGTATGCACTGCCAGGTAAACTGTCGTATACATGGAGTTTGCGGCTGTCAAAATAGATACTTCGCCAGTGATCAGAACAGTTGCCTCCAATTATTTGCACGCTTTTGTCACTACAGCAGGGCTTGATAAATTTTGTAAACTGTAAGTATAGGACACTTTGCGTTTCAAAAGGAGTACTTTCTCTGACGACACGCAAAAATCGATCTAACGATTCATCGTTTAATTTACTTTGCACAGGTAGTACATTTTTCTGTACGTCAGTTACGGAAGAAACAGCAGTCTCTAATATATAGTATCCTACATCATCATCTATGAAGTTTTCTTCTTGGTCTGAATGACTGACAATGATACACTCGCTCGTTATTGCTTCAACGGTCATATTTGATGCTTCAACACTGTTCTGTATCATGTTTTCATATGTACGTTTTTTTGCGATTTTTCTACTAGATTTTTGAATTGATGCGTCTTCTTTTGCCCGTAGTATGTATTCTGGATTTCTAATAGGCATGTGTCTATTGTGGCGGCTGTCCAATATTTCCGGAAGCATGCATTCTTCGTAGAAACGCGTTAGGAAAGGTTCCATATGATTTGTCCAAAACGCGTCGTCTCTATTTACGTGGATCATATGTATGCTTTTAGGTGTCCAGATAGCGAAAATACAGTACTTCCGCTGCACTATATGCAACTGACCTTGTACTTGGTAGAAATACTGGTGCTTCCTATTCATTTCTTGTATATTTCTCTTATCGAAGATGTTTCGTAAGTGACGTATTGCTTCTATTGCGTCTATCGCTGTCAAATTCTCAGCAGGTTGTGGGCATTTCAGTTCCAGTAAACCGTCATCGTCGATAAGTCCATCAGGAGAGGCACCCAAGTATGGAATGTCGCAATCAATGAACAATCCACAAGTTGGAATTCTTGTTTTCATTGCGTTCGCTACGTCTTTTCTTGCAATGTGTTCTTTATCGCGGCCGTATTTCATAGCAGCGGTATCGACAGGTGTAGGATATAAAATGTTTTTCACCATTGCTGCGCAGGACGTTGTTTGTCTCATGCGACATACTGCTCCAAAATTCGAAGCAGTTAGCATTTCCTCTTTTAAAGCTCTCCATAAATCTGAATCGTTTTGCTCTCTTGTGTTCGTTTCTATTATTGTACGATTTTTTGCATTGTCAGCAAGCTTTTCAAAATGTTCCTTGCGAAGTTGAAGCAGCATATCACTCGGAAGATCTGGTCTTTGCGAGTTTGGACCATAATATTTATCCGTTCCTTGCACCGACTTAAATTTCCTTCTCTTGCCATGGGTTATTCGCAATTCTTTCGTTTTCGCAACTTTTCTCTGCCGCCGTTCCTCCAATCTCTGTACTAGTGGTGGAACGGTTTTACACATGTTCTTATGCATTTCTGTAAGTACTTGCTGCGTATTGTATTGCGTAACAGCTCCTGCAACTCGAGCATTGTAGGAACCTCTTGCACCAAAATTAATACGTTTTCCACCAATCTCTTTGCAGATAATTGAATTAAATGTTTCTGCGGGATTGTTTGTCACATTCATTAACAAAAAATCCGAATAGCAACTGAGGAATCGTATGGCTTTCTCGACTTCGATGTACAGACCGTACAATTTCAAAGATGGAACGTAATTTTTCTCAGCTCTGTTTTCATCACGCATACACGTATGGCTGCGGCTATTGCACTCCTTGTGCTCACCAAATATATGGCTAGGAATACTTAAAATGTCCTTCTGAAGTTCTCTAGCTTTGATATGCTGAGGCCCTGTTTCTTGTTTTCGCGCATTGACTGCTAAAACGACAGCTCTACGAATATTTAAAATATTTTTTTTAATTATATTTCGGTACGCAACAAAGCCACGATCTCTGTGACCCTT